CGATGGCGACTTTCCCTGCCCGTCCCCCCCTCCCGGCCAGTCCCTGCGCTCGGGCCTGAGGCCGGCACACAGCTCCGCCATAGCTGGGCAGCCCCCAGCCCCGTCGCCCCCCCCGGCCGCCTCGCACCAAGGCCTGGTGCCGGCAGGACGTGGTCCTGCAGGACCCCAGGGCTCTTCCTCGCCCCAGCTCTGGTCCACCGGCACTGCGGAGCCTGAACTCAGCCCCGTCCCCGCAGGGGTTTCACCCAGCAAAGCCCCTTCAGCCGTGCCAGGTCCTGCCTGTCCCTCAGCCCCTCTCCGTGCCCCTGCTTCCCCAAGAGGCTGCAGGGACTGGGGCAGGGGGGGACCCCGGGGGGTCCCCATGGCTCTGAGCAGCCCCACTGAAGGGGGGGCCATCCCGTCGCCATCCCCAAACTTGGCCCTCATGACCGTGAAAGGCCACAGGAGAGATCAGCCACTGCACAGGCACCCATGGAGCCACGTCCCAGCCCTCGGTGCCAGCCTGCGCCCACACGGCTGGGACCCCTCTCCCTGCGGCAGCCCCAGGTGCTTCTCCCCTCAAAGCGCTTCCCCGGATGCCACCATGGGACCACTCAGCCCTGGCAGCTGCCTCACAGGGACAGCCGCCACCGCCACTGCCTCTGCCCAGTGCTGCTGCTCATGTCCGTGATGCTGGCATGGCACAGCACAGCACGGCGCGGCACAGCATGGCACAGCACAGCTCGGCTCAGCTTGGCCCAGCTGCCTCCCGGGTGGTTTGTGCTGAGCCCCCCGTACTGTGCCTGGCGGGGAGCCCCCGGCTCCAGAGGAGCGTCATGGTCACCTGCAGGACACAGCCGAGTTGACTCCAGTTTTAGAGGAAGTTGTGGGAAAAAGCGTGTCAGATGGGAGTTTTGCTGACTCGCCTTCCCACGGCTGGGTGATGCCCCAGTGGGCACAACAAGCAGACAAGCAGCAGCACGATGGCACGGCATGGCCAGGGGATGCCACGGTGCCCCAGGCTCAGACCCCAGGCAGCACTCCAGCAAGTGCCGGAGATTCCTGTGCTGAGCGAGATGAACCCCCACCCAGAGTCACCGCAGCCCCCTGCCAGGCGAGAGGAGCCCAGCTAATGCCCCATTCGCTGCCTGCCCAGCTGAGCAGATCAAGAGCTGTCATGTGCTGCCAGGGTTCCCAGTTACCCAACCAGCTGGTCACCCTGCAACTGGCCCTGGTCCGCACAGAGTCCTGCCTGCCAGGGGTGCTCCAGTTTCCCTGTGCCCCATTCAGCTGCCTGGAGCACTCGGTGCCGCTGGTGCTCCCCAGGCACGACCAGCACTCAGCTCCCTGGAGAGTTTGAGGGTCAGAGTGGCTCTGCCAGCACCAGTGCTGCAGCTGCCCTGACCTGCAGCAGACGCCAACCTGACCCCAGCCCCCTCTGCCCCGGCCAGAGACCCTGCCCAGGAATATTTTTATTTTCTGCCTGAGCTGCGGGTCCCACCGGCAGCGTC